CCCCCACCCCCCCACTAGTCATCTGTGCAGATGCAGGATAAGCATGGAACCCATCATGGAACAGCATAAGTATTATGGCAAGCATATTAACCATGGTGTGCCTTATGATGGAGTATATCCAGAATATCATAGAAGCATAGGGCTGGGAAAGACCTCAGGAGGTCATTGAGTCCAGGGTCCACCAGAATGAGGAAGAACACCCTCTTCTACGTAGCACTCGAGCTAAGTGACTGGCAAATGCCGCCGGCATTCATCATGGAACAGCATAAGTATTATGGCAAGCATATTAACCATGGTGTGCCTTATGATGGAGTATATCCAGAATATCATAGAAGCATAGGGCTGGGAAAGACCTCAGGAGGTCATTGAGTCCAGGGTCCACCAGAATGAGGAAGAACACCCTCTTCTACGTAGCACTCGAGCTAAGTGACTGGCAAATGCCGCCGGCATTCGATCCTCTAGACACAGCGGAACATTGGTTCTGGTGCCATAAGACATACACAGACAAGTGGAGTAATATAGTTATGCGGCTATGGGACAACAAGCAGTAGCTGCAAAACTTTCATATGTATAAGGCCACTTTCATGGAAGTTTGCACATTGCTTTCCTGTACCCTGAAGCACAGCAATACCAGAATGAGACCCGTTGTGACAGCTGAATTTAAGTTAAATGTTATTTTGATGGATTCTTTGACATTTTCTCCCCTACAAGGATGTTAAATTTAGTTACAGTATGTACAATATAGTATTACACTGGGGGCGACTGTGATCCAAATAGCCAAGGCAATCAATATCCTTCTGCTACAGAGGGTAGTGACTCTGGGCAACATGCAGGACATAGAGGAGGGTTTTGCTGTATTGGGGTTCTCTAACTGTGGTGGGGTGACAGATGAAACATCTCCCCATCTTAAGTACATAAACCACAAGAGGTACTTCGCAGTGGTGCTACAGGATCACAAAGGGCCATTTCACCAACATCAGCATGGGATGGTCGAGAAATGTACATTGCTCACACACATCCTTAGGCACGCCTGACTTCAAAAAGCTGCAAGCTGGAACTTTTTTTGCAGAGCCAAAAATTAATATTGGAGGTGTTGAAATGCCAATAGCACTCCTTGGAGACCCAGCCTACCTCTTGCTTCGGTGGCTTATGAAGCCGTACACAGAAAGCCTGGACCACAGTAAGGAGCAGTTCAACTACAGGTTGTGCAAGTGCAGAATGGCGGTAGACTGTGCTTTGGGGCATTTAAAGGGAAGGTTTCACTGTCTATTAACTAGGTTAAGACCTCAGCAGAAGCAACATTCCCATGTTGTGGCAGCCTGCTGTTCCATAATATCTGAGAGAGTAAAGGGGCAAGTTTTATGGCAGGAGGGGAGAAGGGGCCAAGGCACAGTGCCTAGCCAGTAATTATGAGCAGCCAGACACCAGGGCAATAAGAATACAGAGAGGGGCACTGCAAATCAGAGAGGCTTTAAAAAACTGCTTTAATGAATGGCCAGACTGTGCTATGAGTCATGCATGAGATGCCCCTGAATGAAGTGTGCTTGCCTGTAAACCCCCACCCCTCCCCAACACAAACAATAAAGAGACACTTCAAAAATCACGCTTTTTTATTTAGGGAACACAGTAGGGACAGAAAAGGAGTTCAGGGTGGGAGCTATGGAGAGGGTGACCATGGGTGTGAGGACAACAGCCTTTAGTTCTGGAGCTGAGTGTGAGGCTGTGCTTGCTCTCCCCCCATCCCCACATTCTAGGGCCCCTGGGAGAGGAGGCGATGGAACTCGGTGAGGAGGGAATGCTGGTCCGCAAGGGCTGAAGGGGGTGCCTGTGCATGTAGCTGTCCTGGAAGGCCACCATGTGGCTCATCATGTCCACCATTGCTGTCAACACACTCTCCGGGTTCCTCACTTCAAGTTCCCAGCATGCTCTCCTGTCCTCATGCTCTGCCTGCATCTCCTACAGCAGTGTATTTCTCCACTCAATCGCTCCCTGTCTAAGTGGGCAGACTGCATTTGCTCCTTGAACATGTCATCCCGAGTATGTTTTCCCTTTCAGTTTTGTGCTAGCTGGACAGCTGGTAGAGACGGGATCGTGCAGCTTGCTCACTGCTGCACTTGCTGTAAGAACAAAAAATTAAAGGGCAGACTTTACAGGAGATACGTTGTCGAGTGTAAAACCTAATCTCTTAGGATAAAAGGAAGGTCTGTCTAAAGACTATGTACAATGTGTTCGGTATAAAGCCACACTTACGTTTTTAAGTGTCCACTATGCAGCTGGTACCCACATGGATCTTAGAGGAACAGCTAGACTTGGTTTGGAGGCAGGCATGGCAAGGGAGAGGTCAGGGCTTGAACCAGCCAGGGGAGAGGGAGTCTGACCATGGTGGACAGGCAAGTCAGGGGCTCACACGGTGACCGAGTGTTCAGTGCCCTGTTTGCAGGGAGAGTGCAACTTTACCTTCCCACAGGACCATACGGGAGGAAGGAAGGAAAGGTCTGGGCATGTTGGCAGGGCATCTTAAGCTGCAATGCCGCCAGACCACTTACTGCTGGCTTGGCATGAAAAGGTGCCCTACTCAGAGGTGATGTATGGGAGGGGGTGCATGTAGAGCTACATACACCCCGCCCGCGGTACAACCCCTTCAGTGCGAAACAGGCTGGCCAGCAGCCAGAGGGGGGTTTAGCAGCAGCAGGCATCTGTTCCTCCCTTCCCCCCTTTGCACCAGCAGTGAGTAAGGCACAGGCCAGGCAGCTCCCAGCCACACTGCACAAGGGGAGGGCGTGACCACCCCAGCACTCCCTGGAAGCAGAAGCTATGCCACTTCTGCTTCTGGGGAGTGTCAAAGCAGTCCTGGTGCTTCCTCGAAGAGGTGCCTCGTGAGCTGTAGCTGCCCTGCCTTGCTTTCCCCACTGCCACCCCTGAATGTGGGGCGGCACCATCCCCTGGATGGGGCCTGGGAGAAAGGGGATTGGCCCAGCCCTTCTGTGGATGGAGGGCTTCTGTGGTCCCCCCCATCCTCATCACTAGTCGCCACTGCCTATTCTGGAGGACAGAATAAGGCAGGCCACACCAGAATCCCCGGGAGAAGGATTAAAGAGTTCCTCTATGAGAGCTTTA